TCAATAAAGCCCATAAATTTTACTTCACCTAAATGTTGCGGACGTTAAACGAAGGTCAAGCATCAGATAATATTAACAGAGGTGTTTAAAGATGACTTTACAGCTCCAGTAGGCATCCCGTTTACTGCACGCAGAATTGGATCAAAAATGGGGTGGGACACATCGTTGCCAAACCAGTCTTTAGAGTGGGCATTATGATCCCTCCAATAAAGTAACGGGCAACTTTAGATCCATATGGAAAGTCCCGCAGTTCGGTGCTATTGCCTTCGAATAAACTCGTAAAATCCAATAATTTGGCTATCTACATCCCAATGCCAGTACCTTCGTAACAGTTGCCCTTGGGATTGAAGATGAGATCACGAACCGTATATGAAAACTCGAAGTGCTTTTGCTAACCTACGCCACCTATGACGGCGGCGCGACGTTACTCTCGCCCTGAAGGGTAGAGTGTACAATGCAGCGGTACGTTCGACCTTACTGTACAGTTGCGAAACCTGGCCCCTGAGATCGGCGGACATAAAGAGGCTAGTTACGTTCGAATATCGGTGCCTTCGCAGTTTGGCTCACCTCTGGTGGGAACGCCGCGTGAGTAACGAGCGTGTTCGAAGACTTTTTTACAGCACAGAAAAAGGAACTGAACCACTCAGCACCGTTATTTCACGCACCAGGTTCCGATGGCTGGGCTACGTGTTGCGCATGCCAGCCCACCGACTTCCACGACGTGCGTTGTTTGCCCACAGGGGGTGTGGATAGAATAAGAGGAGAGGTGGCCAAGCGATGACTTGCTCAAGAGGAATGAAGGCCCTAACTTCTGTGCTGGCCTCGGTTGGAGCGTCTTGGCCCCCTGGTTGGGGTCCAAAAGACGATGAACACGCTTGGCTGGATGCACTTGCTGACATGGCAAGGAGCCGATCTCAGTGGCGTTCGTGCTGTGATTTTCTTTGTCCCTCCCCATCCATTTTAGCCTCCCCCTCCACCTACGATCTCATTTCGTAGCGTAATATGATTTTACATAAGGATTTTTCTTTTTGCCTATTAGCCGGCTGGTAGCTTACCGGAACGATGCCTATCCGTTGCTGGTAGATCAGCTGGCATGCAACTGTTGTATTTATTTTCCTTTTTCTTTATGTATTGCGGCACAGTAGCTGAGGTGTTTCCCACCTCTAGCTAACATGTATAACGATGATGATGAGGATGGAACAATCTGATCAAACTGTAAAATACTTATGCTTCCATGACACTTGATAGTACTGACATTAAGGACACCTGGTCGCATGCTGTACTGACCGACACCGAACGCTCAAAACCGAACTTGCCACATATCAGAAGTGACTAGCCCCGAGAGGAACTTGAAGTAATCCAGTATTGCGGAAGTGTTCTACGATGCGAGGTTAGGGATGATCCAGGATCCCCGGCTCTTGATTCAAGCTGGCGTTGCTTACAGGGTCGATGCACCTGCTTTGTAGCCTTCCCAAAATCCGCGCTAAAAATGGACTGACAATTGGTAACCATAGTTGGAAGTTTACCGTCGTCCACAGAAGGAATTAATTCAAAGTACATTCCCTGGAAACTGCCATGGTCGAAGGAAACTTCACGCCAGGTCGAAAAAGCTAAGTCCCAGCGGTTTGCTCTTCAACCATCTCGTTTCGCCCTCAAGATTCTGTGTAGTTAACATTCAATCTCTACCGAGCTCTGTGCTTACCGACGGAGAGCATCTGATTGACACAATATTCTTGGATTATCATCCCGACTGCAGTGACCCTGTAGCCATAACTTTTGGCCTCACCTAACATGAGAAACACTTTAATGAGAACACAGTTGTGGCGCGCGTAGTTACCTTTTATCGACTCTAGGCTGACAGCGTGGTCCCCCTGGTTAAGAATTCTCCAGGGGTAGTTTGGATGGAATTTGTCAGTAGGTGCAGCAGGGCGATCGTAGTGGTCTCATAAGTACGGGTATTTAACCAGACCAATGTATTAATTTTTTGTAAGTAACAAAGCATAGAACTGTGTGAACACGAAAAAGCTTGGACAACGTGTGAATTTACTTTGACTCCCGAAATTGGAGGGTTACGGCTTAGCTCAGTTTGATCATAGTACTTCGTTGAGAACTCAAATTGGCACAGTAGTAGAGCCTGGCACTAACCTTCCACGTTGGCTCTGAAGTGTTGCCCGAATGTTTCAATGAAGTCTGGAGGAGCGGTTCGGATCTTCTGTCTGCGCAGTTGATGGACCGACATGAGTGAACAAAGAAATCACCAACAACCTGCAGTTGATGAACGCGGCCAAATTTCAGCTCACCGCGTTTTTGCGCAATATTTTTGCTCTCATTCTTCTTGGCCGAGGTACATATGTATCTAATAGAACATTGGAACTGCGTTTTCTAAGCGGACATCTCTGTACAAGCACAGCTTCAGAAGTGACTACCACTCATCCAGCGGTAACTGAAATGGTAGTAAGAGACCAAGAAAAACATCTGTCTCAACATTTCCTTCATTTTGGATCAGACCAGGTTCCTACCATGTGGAAGTCTAGAATAGTTTCTTCAATACCCTTAGGATAAATATGACTGAACCTTGTAACTTTCACCCCAGAACTTTTCTCCGGTTTCTTTTACGTGTCGATACGCCGAAAGTCGACCCTGAAAGATGCAGCACTACTGCTGCTGAACAGCATGGCTTCCATCACCAACCATCATCTTCTACGAAGTATTCTCACATCGGTGTATCAGATCTTAAAGACCTTACCGACTCATGCTTATCCTTATGTAAACTCAGTCACAAAACCTCACTGGTAGGCCATCTTTTGAACCTAGCTACATGGTACAGCCGGTTGGAATGTTACCGAAGTGTTTTCTCCATTCGTGTATCCCAGCCGCAGAGCTTACTTTCCCATTCGATCATCTCCGCTTCCACTTTATCCGTGTTCAAAACCTGACTTTATGATGCATTGTACTACTGGTATTACATAATATAACCCAATTATGTTGGACGCAGGATGAAGTAACCAAACTATATGTTCACAAAATTTTGCGGTAAGTCCACTGCTGGACGTTTTTTTATACATTTGTTTTTGATCTTATTCCTTACTTAAAAGCCCGTTAAGCGTTTGCCTTCTTAGCCGTGATCAATCCATTGGTTCACTGATCGTGTATCATGACTCTGTTACAAACACAGAGCAGTCAGACTGAGTTAATACGCGGTTTAGAGGGCACTTTTGTGATATATCTGGCTTTCTCGAAAGCAGTTGAAAGTTAGCTCATCGGATGTTCTTTTGCTGGACTCAGTATGAATACAGCAATGCTCCTTTATTCAGTTTGCATCGCCCAACTATGTATATGAAACCGCTTAAAACAAAAACCTTGAACCGTTTGCATTCTTGCTCATGGTTCCTTAAGTGTGCTACAACGATCATCTAACCAGCGCCGAATTCCAACAGTCACAAGTCTGATGTGAAGTTGAGTCGTCAGTGTTGCCATTCAAAATGCCAATCAGTATGCTTATAATTGAATAAAGTAACCAGAATGCCTTCGAATAGCATGGTTTGGACGGTGCTTGGGATTACCTCGTAACTGCTATTACTGATTTTTATTGTTTGTGTGTGCGCGACTCTACATGTCTTGATCTGTACCTATGAAGTTTTCATTGGGTCAGATCTCAATGACCAAGCTGAATTGCAGTCTAAATAAACTAAAGTAAACGTTATTGTTTCTTCTGCATTCATTTGACCAAATGTGGTAGCCGCCTTACAACCACTTAACATAAATTTAACTATCTTTCACATCATACACTGAGCCAGAGAAGAAGAGCATTTAGTTATTTGATCACCGAGATGTTTGGGTTTCAATTGTGCTATTGTTACTATTCCGTCTTTGGGAAATTTATCGATATTCAAACTCAGTTTGTGCTACTTCAGTTACTTTCATGTTCGTTATTAGGGACAGCAAATTTACCTACCTTCTGGATAGCGCTTGTTTGCGATTTCATTTTTCGACTTATTCTGGATTAAGAAAATGTCCATTTTGCAGCCCAACTTGTTGTGAATCTCTTATAGATCGTTATCAATTCGTTTAGGAGCACGTGTTTCAGTCCCTCTAATTCTGGTTAATTGCTCCAAATGCAGTGATTAGCGACAACCTGCCTAGCATGATAAATCATTGCAATTCACATTCGCTGAAGTCGGCCGATGGCCCAGTGGTATGCGGGTCTGGTTCGCACTCATAAGGTCACCGGTTCGAATCCGCGTAGGAGCAGCGAAGCACCGTTGCGGCGTACGGCCATCTACTTATTTACTATTATCTCTAAATGGGCTACCACCACGAGACTGATCACAATGATTTTGTTGACATCGTGGCATGCCTACGATATCCTGTGATAACTAATGCGCAATACTGAGTATTATATTCGGAAATCAATCCGAGACTGAGGCCGTGATAATATTTGTGTTTGCACTTCTCAGCATTCCTACCTTTTCTCTTATCTGACAACTAAAATGGAGACATGTGAACCGAGGTATAACGGGTTGGAGAGCAGACCATATGCAAGTTTATACACGTTCTGTAAGCTGGGTGACCTCCACTCCCGTGTTGTTGTGGTGCTTGACCTGGATTTGTTGATAAATTTTCAGTAAACTACTGTCTAAGGGGTGCTTAAATAAGTGCACAAAACAATGCAGATGTATGAAATTTGGTTGTTCTCACAGCAACTCATGTTGAAAGTTCAATGATTAAGTCCCAGTGGGGAAACTAGATCGAAATAGGTTACATTGACCTCAAGATAATGTTCGGACCGAAGTAGGTATCCGGCCAGTTTACTACCGTTTGGCTTGGTAACCTCACTTCGCACAGGTCATTCGATAGTCTCCTTTACTTTGCTCCGCGGTACATGCCCAGCTCGCGTTGACCAGTTTGATCTTTTGTCACTTGTGTAGTTTCAATTAAGTTCGTAACAGACACAGTGATAGACTTCGCTAATTTCACTCACTGCTCTTATTTATCCTAAGGCACGGATCAAGGAAAGCAGAGAGCTACGTCGTGCACTGATCGATGATCGTCACATGCATATTGTAAGTCAGTTGGAACGCTATTTCGGTTTCGATGGTCCCACCATTTGCGACTGGCTGTTGGACAGCCAACAACTGGAAGCAATGCAAGAATTTTTTGCGAAAGATCGCAGTAAAGTCCTCTTTGTTGCCTGCGCCGAAGCTGGTTTCACTCTGGTCAAGTCAAGTAAGTCAAATGTTTTTATTTTCATGAATTTGCTGAACACAATGATAACGAAACCTAGGCTTGATTCGGTTACCTGATCTAAGCTGACAAGCATTGTGCGCCGTTCATTGTATACCGAAGTAACATGCCTCGGTGTTATGCTCAAAGGTGCATTATAAGCTGAGACGTTATATTCATGCATGTGACCATGAACAAGCGCAGTGGTGACATCATGATAACATAGACCATATTCTTCAGTTGGGGTCTCTGGATGGGGATGTGAGGAAGGAGAGAGATGTCTGAATTGTGGATCTTCGTACAGGCCGAAAGTGTACCCAATGTTTTTGCTGGAATCGCCGTATGATACGGTTGTAATTCCCAATTATCGATCCCCAGGTAAAAACTGCTCCCAGTTTAAATGTTGTTTTATCCTCTTGAAACTAAAAATGGGGACCACAAAACTACATGCTAACGGTGACTACCAGTCAATCTACCAGGCTAGATAAGTGAATAGTATTTAAGAGCTTCTACAATGCAATTCGATCCCTCAAAAATTAGACTACCAAGTTGCCAAATCGATAGTTCTGAATGCTCAAGGCTTACTCGAAATCCCACGACAAACTGCATGAACAGACATCCATTTGGGTTAAATTACCATATATTTTGCTTATTCCGTAATATACCCCCGCTCATTTGTTGCCATCCGCCCACACAGATGGATACCGCCACGGAAATTTCATTCTAAAATATTGCTTTCTTGTTCCTGAGGAGAAAAGGTTGTCCGAAGTGCACCCATTATGAGTAACGTTCACCTTCTCTCTATCTGCGGGAGACACTCACGGTCATTCTCCTGTCTTTCACGACAAATGCTATAGAGATAGTATTAGAAGGGTGTTAATCAATCTAAAGGGAGTTCGAGGGTGCACTGCAATTACATGCTTGGTTTGTGCAGACCCAGACGGAAGTTTATGGTTTGCTTCTAAGTTTGTTGATCTGCAGGCGATTACTGGTCGGACACAATCGCTTAGTGACTGACGGGCAAGAGTTGCATTATACGACGGATCTAACTTGCCATGTGAGCGGCTGGTACTGCCGCTATACACCACCTGTCCCGTTGGTTATTTATGATACACTTCCATGGATATCCCGTCCACTGTTAAACATCTAGTTCACATGTTGCACATCTCTGCACCAGAGTAAATGGATAGCATTCAAAATCGGCCAGCAAGTTTGTTTATGCCATCGCATCGGTATCTTCCGCTTTCGTATAAACACCATTTGAGTAAACAGGGGAAGCCTTGAATGACAGAACGCCCAAGCTTCTTTGTGTGATTCTCTGTTTCCGTCAGTTCAAACAAGTGATAACCAAAGTTTGGCTTTAAAAATTCCTGATGACTTATCGTCTCTAAACTTTCTGAAAATCACTTAATGTGGGGAAAACAGTTGGGGTAACGGCTTTTTTGCATCAAAACACTATGCGATCTTTTAGTGTAATACTATGCTTCTTATGAGCAGTGACGTTGGCCAACCAGGTGACTTCGGGGTTCGGCAAGTCCAGTCCATGCAAAAGGTAAACAAAACCTTTCACACCAGTTTATCGTGGACCTTTTCGTCCTAAATCTCAGGCGTTTAAAATTGTTCTGCTAAAGCGAGGTGATTTGCGCCCATCGATCACTGAAAACATTCAAAATTTACGTCATTGTCCTAGGAGTGGCAGTCTCGTGATGATGCGCAATGAAAACTATAATAATAATAATAATAATAATAATAATAATAATAATAATGGGTATATTTTCTTTAAATGAGAATCTGCTTCCATATTTGCGGCAGATCAAATATGTACAGTTAGTACCATACGCTTGCATGGGCAATATGAATTTGTGATGAATAAAAAACAGGTATATCTCGCGTCCGTGAAAGGCACGGTCCAAGTGGATATTACCATTTTTGGTGTGCGGCAAAATCGAAAGGAGCGGATGTTATATTTTTCGCATTTGGCAAAGCGGTCCTTAAGCTTTTTATCAGACATGGCCAATTGGTCGGTTAGATATTTCCCGGGGGATTGTGAGGCTTTAAAAGATAAAATGTGTAAATAAGTAAAAAAACTACTACTGAAGTGATACGGCTATTAATGGGGCTGCCTTATAGTATCAGTACAGAGGCTGTCCATTCTTTGCTGTACTTACATCCATGACAGTTAGCGCGGTTTTTTATACAAACATTTCAATACTGTGTTAATGATGGATGCCTCAAACTGCTAATATTATGGCTCCAATATATTAGACTTGCTTAACAGGAAAAATAAGTTATCGAGTGGGTAAGGGAAAGTTTTTTTGTTGTTGTCGAGGAACTGAACGATCTACACAAGAAATGTAAATGGCATTCAAAATGTCCAACAAAAACGAATTTAGAGCTGCTCTTGGTGTGATTTATGGGAGGATGACATTTTATGGTTGCTTACATGGGGTCGCTAAAAGTGTAAATGAGTGGATTGTTGGGTTTTGAAGTACTCATTTTGTTTGCGCTTCGCGGCACATATTCTTAATTAGGACTACCGTGTGCTTTGAAGCAAACATCTGTAAGGGGAGACCTGCCTTCCAAGGTAACAATTTCAAATGTCCTTAATCATTTCCACAGTTAAACGTTCACAGCAATACGAGCAAGCAAGGTTCATCGCTCCTTTGCTTCAGATGTTGACAGAGGTTCACTCCAGTCTGAGTCGTGCTCCAGATTCACACTCCAAGCGCTCGCAAACGATCCCTCCAAAGCTTTCTAGACATTCAGTATCATTTGATTATTTTTACATTTTCCAACATTTGGAAGAACAGTAACTCTGTAGGCCCTTCATTAGAACCGCACACAATATAGCGGAGACAGAGAGTTTATCAAGTACACTGAAAGATAAACGGTGATGCAGGCGACGTTTTAGTTCAGTAACTCAACCCACTTTCTACACGGGTCACTATATATATATATATATATATATATATATATATATATATATAGCACGACAGATCGTGGCACAATCAGCAAAGTACTACAATAAGTGTAGAAGTACGACAAAAGGAAAAGAGAGAGCTAAGCTGTAAAAAGAAGTCACGTGAGTGTAGTCTCACATATATGCCACAAGGTATCAATTCATACGATGTCCGAGTGGGTTTCCAACCAGCCATGTTCGTGATGTTTTTACATCCAGTCCAGTAGTTGATATGGTCCGACCACACCAATGTTGTGGCTAGAGCCTTATCCCAGATACTGGTATAAGAGTAACAAGTAACAATAGTTATACAACGTTACGGTTTTGGTGTTGCATGTCTACAGAACCACCCGGAGATGGAATCTGATGAAGCTGCTATTATGACGTCTTTAACTGTGTTTCCTTTGATCTGTAACACTCGCTGGGGCTCATAGTACGATCAGTAAAACTTTGGGCATAAGTTGAACAAGTACATCTGTTACTGTGATTGGCAAACACTCTAAAACAACCTTAGTAAGCCACATCTAAACCTGATAATTGATAAATATGAAGTGCGAATCTGACACCACACTTTGGAGGACTCGGAATGTGATACAACCACATGAAGTGGACAGATAAAGATAACTTCCTTAATACAGTCAAACTTATCCATTGTTTTACGCAAAAACTTTGATCTTTTACCATTCTTTAACAGAGGACACATTCCGAATTTATAAAAAGAGCTCCAAATTGACAAAGCGGCTATATTTCCACTCTGGTCAAATGCCATTCACTAGTGAAACGGCGATTTTCCTTCGGTTTGATAACAAGGAAGCAATTACTATGAAGAATATCCGCACGGTGAGTTTTGCCTGCAGATTTCCACCCCATATGGGTCACCGTTATCTTCAACTAGGTGCTGCCGCTGCACAAGTCGAAGACTCATATTGGAATTTTTATATGAGTTGAAAGCACATCCAATACCGGCACTTTTTGCACATGATCTGTAGATCTGTTTCAGCACTGAAAGTACCTCAGCCTACTTTAGTTTGTTTCGTGGACTTACATGGCAATCGTATAGAGTATGGGTAGTTTACCAGATGCCTCACCTAGGTGATGTTGTTTATCTGGCAGTCTTAGACCCGAAGGTATTTTGGGTACATACTGAAGTTTAATGGCAGCTGATCTTGGCCCCAGCCATCTGGCCAGAAATGGAAAACTACGTTAACGACGCAAAAGCGTGGGGCGGTGTAGAGCTCAGGTAGCTCCTGAGTTAACTGTTTCTCGCGGCCTGTACACACAAACAAATATTTGCACAACGCATTTGGCTGATGAATTGTAAAACTGCATCAGCAGACAACAATTATGTCTTGCTCAGAGCAAATAGCTGCGGTTCACTTGTGATTATCCTGTAGTTTCCGGGTGGATCATTACCCCGCGCCTATTAAAACGTGTCGTACAATTGAGCTCCCTGAAACATACTGACCCTTGCTTCTGGCAATATTCACCAGGTGATATGGAAATCTACCATTATTAACCCCATTTTCATCTGTCTTATTGTCATTATTTGGTGTCCTTTACACATTTATCGTGCCTAGGTAGTAGTAACTGGTTATACTCGTTAGTCGATTTCCTGTCATTATGAATTTGGCAATCGAGTAAACGGAAGGCGTATAAACTGAGTAATGGATCACCGGCTCTAAGTTGGCGCGATTCTCTGAATTCCTTCCGCTGCGGACAAGCTGTTCAGCCAAATGCTCAGGTGGTGTCCCGTAAGGCAACACCCTACCGCGGCTTGGGTAACTGGCTATTATCGTGCCAGCTGAGGAAGCCATGAACTTCTCTGTTTCGTTCGGTTTTCTTTTTACGGCAACTGTATCCTGGTTTGATTTCGAAGTTTCTCGCTGGCTCCATATCTATTCGTAGACTTACAAATATAGAAATGTTAACTGAGCACAACCACGGAATGCCTTCCCACACAAGGGGTCATAACTATCGAGCTGTGTAACATTTGTATTTGTGCCTATCAGTTACAGTCCAAAGTCAAATAGACAGGACCGGCAGACATGTGGCTGGGTTCACAATTAAGCCGTAGCCGTTTCTTACTTCCAAAGCGTCGCAGCAATAATGTAAAATAGTGAAATATACGTACCAAACATGCTCAGTTGAACAGCTGTACCAAGTACCGTCCTGAAGTAGTGCAGCGCCTTTCACCAGGTAGCGACTTGCTGTCACTTAAAACCAGACCTCGAGGTGATGACGAATAAACGGGTAAACATCTCGCTAAACCTCGTCTCAGGCACAGCCACACCCAGCATATATTGAAAGAAAAGACATCCGGCGTGCGACAACACACACCCTTACAAGTATAAGTCAAAAGCAGCGCAGTTGCTGTGCGCAAGCCGCATTAGACTTGGTTTCTATGTGATCAATAAGCGTTAATAGAACTTAGATCTTTTAACTGCATTAATACCCGAACGATCAATCACCTTGCCCATCGTTGTTAGACAATGGCTTGTGGAGTTAACTAGTTTACTGGCCTTAAGTATGTGCATTGCTATTTCTACAAGACAACGTGGATTTGGATGATGAACTGCAACCCTACTGCACGCATTTTTGACCTTGTAGTTACAGTGGTCAAACCATTGTCAGTTCTTTTAGAATATGAAATCGACAGTGGTAAATGATGAATGCACCTTGGTGAATGCACCTTGATAGCTCGGCTTCTGGTTGTATACCTTGCACTTGTTGGCAAGCACACAGCAATTAGTTGACGCTGGTAGCATGCGTTCGACGGACAAGATCAAGTTATCAGTAGAGAGGCAGCAGAGGTACACAGTCCATAAGATGTGTGTCTTTCCTTAAGACTGCTTCAATTTAAGCCACTTTGTTTAACAGGTATTGTAGGCGGAATCCAAGCCGGCGCAATAGTGCGATTTTGTATAGCAACCGCGGTTCGTCACCGCAAAGCAGGGCCAGTTACCCTACTGACCGGCATGTTATTAATCTGGCTAAAATGGACGAAGGATAATTAACCAAAACTTGACCTACATCAGTAGCTATTTGGTTACGAGTACACCGCTCACAGCCTAGCTCAAAATAAATCACAGCGCAGCGGGGAGTTGTGACCTGCCAATATTTCCGTAAAGCATCAAAAACAGTATGAACTCAACAGTGCAAACGTACCCCAAACCTACAGCACTGCCCGGCCAAGTTGTCCCTTTGAGAAACAGAATTAATCTGAGCGGCAGCGGAGTTTCGCCGAAAAGCAATTTGAGTCGTTACTCAACTAAGTGGAGCCTTCAGTATGCCGCTCAGTTGTGCAGGTGTGTATACGTGTGTGTATAGCCCGGCAGTGTAAACCCGAAGGAATAAGACCGGGAGGCATGCGGATGGGAACCACGTTTCATCAACGGAGCCGGCCCACACTCCTTCACAGGCAAACACAAGCACACTGTATTTGGGAATCAAGCGCACACAAGGAGTATATATATATATATATATATATATATATATATATATATATATATATATATATATATATATATATATATATATATATATATGCGGACCGTGCCCCATGCTGAGGCTGATGTTGCATTCTTGATGCTTCTTCACCGCAGTTGGGCTAAACCAACTTACACTTAAACTAGGTCTTTTTAAGCTGGATAAATTTCATTCCGCTTTATTTGGTTTGTTCTGCCTCCCTGAATAATGTTCTATTAACTGGCCACGTTGCTTACACTAATTGCGCTTATCTTCGGTAATTTTGTTGCGTTTGTAGCATTTTAAGTAACTTGTGGACATTTCTTACTTATCACGGATTTGTTGCTGACCAACTTACTTCATATGGTAATTTAGCGAAGAGTTATGCCACCGTAGCTGTATGCATTATTGGATTTATTTTATTTCAGCTTGTCGTTTAAATTGAATGGCTGTTGTTTGATATCTTTGGTATGGTTGCGCTTGATGTGTATGTTGACAAGGTGCCTACCTGTCTATTACCCACTACTTTGTCCATACTGGCTCCAGGAGACAGTTGGTCGTTGCTGGAGGGGACGGGGTGCACGGTTCTTGTGGCCGTGCTAGGCTCAAAGAGCGGTTTCATGCAGTCAATGTGGAGCGGACTACGGTCCAGCCACCGCCTTGTGTGCACTTGATTCCCCAAATACAGCGTGATTGTGTTTGTTTGTGAAGGAGTGTGGGCCGGCTCCGTTGATGAAACGTGGTTCCCATCCGCATGCCTCCCGGTCTTATTCCTTCGGGTTTACACTGGATATGGGGTATGTGGTTGGAGCTGTGGGTGGTGCAGCGCAAGCCATCCATGGTCCCTCTGTAGGCGCAGGCATCCTGTGGCTTGCCACAGTGACAGGCAAATCCGAAACCGGATGCCGCCAACCATAGCCCGGCGTTTTCAGCCAAAAGGGCCTCAGTGTGCGTCACAGCGATGCAAGTAGAACGCCTCATCTCCTATCTGGTACAGTGTCGGTGGCCGAAGCACAATTTAGGCCTGTGTTTCTCTGCCCAAGGAAGCCATTCCCACCAATTAGAACGAGAGGGTAGATTTGGACGGCGCTATGGTTGGTATAATGAGCCACAGACAAATATCGTTGCCACGTGATTTTGAACGTGCGGTTCACCTTTACGCAATAGTTGGCTTGTATGTTCGGCACTAGATAGAGGTGAAGAAGGTCATACTGAAAGCGCACGAGGTAGGAGACAATTTGAACCAGGTCGCTTACACCCTGCAGCTGAACGCGAAAAGTTGCCGCAACTGGATAGGGGCATATGAATCGACAGAACAGGTGGAGCAGCATGGATGAGTGCGTCGCAGACCACTGGGAAAAGGTCACGTCGACTGTCTGGTGGAGTGGGTTTTGGCGGAGCCTACAGGTAACCTCGAACTCCTTCGTTTGTGGTTGAAGCTGGGGTTCGAAATTGCAATAAATACCAGCACCGTCTCCCGATTCCTGGATGGTTGACTGATAGCAATGAAGCAGCTGCACACGATTCCGTAATCCGTGAACACGCTGGAGAATAAATAGCGACATATGTCATTCGTTTTGCAGCTCATGGATTACAAGGTGGAAGGAAGGCAACCGGTGTGCAATGAGGAGACCAACTTCGACTTATTTGGCGCCCTCACTCTTAGCCGCTCACGACGTAGTAGCCGAGCGCAGCGTACCGTGACGAACAGCCGGGGACCGAATGTTCATCTTGTCGGCGCCATGACAAACAACGGCTTGATAAAGTGTTCGGTTCTGAGAGGGTTACAACGAGCAAAGGTGCGCTCAGTGGCCGAGACAAGTACTTGATACCAACAGAGCAGGTTTGTGGAAAGGTGTCTTATTTGCGACAACGCGCCCTGACACATGCACCTGGAGCACGTTTTCTTGGAGAATCCGTACCGCGTTGGAAGACTTCTACGCCTTGCGCCATACTTTCCAACGCTCAATTTCATCGAGGGCATCTGGAGCATAATTAAGTCTTAGTTTGGGTGACACGTAACGTTTGTCATATTAACGGGCATATTCGCAACGCCTATCTTCTCACATATGGAGTTCCACTGGTTCAAATCATCGAGTTGTTTTCCTTATATGCAATTTGACGTTAATTCTGGCACGTTTATGCACATTACCGCTGGTATGCTACCTACAACTCTGGTTGTGGTCAAACGACCTGCTGGTCTGTATACAGTCGGTGCAGGCTGTTTGGGTACAGCTTCGTCTTCTTTACTTATTGTGCTTCCAGTGGGAGTGGCCGAAGACCTTTGGTTTTCGGTCACTTTTGGCGGCAACCAAGTTTTAACTACCACCGGTGTCAATGCCCTTCTGAATTTTCCGAACGGTTTGGAAGGTGAACAAGGCCCTAACCGTGTGCACTGCAATCGGACTTGCGGTGGTATATTTGAGCAACCAGTGCTTTTGGCGTTTAATGCCACTGATGATGCATTTTTAGCGCGCTGCCCAGCCTTCTTCCTCGGTTTCAATGCGAGGCCTGATGGGAAGGACTGGGATTTACTCTCTGTCACGCTTTGTACAAATGTATCGCTTTTGGTGATCCACATTTGTTCAAACGTTGCCACTAGTCTTTCGTAATTCTTTGACAGTTCATGTGCTGTCTTTATCTGTGGGATGCCTATACATATTGAGCAGAATCACGGTGAAGCTGGTTTACTTTTGGGTAACTTCAACTGGTTCACCTCAAGCTTGGAACATGTGCGACGGGGTTACGTGACCCTCACTTGCAAGAAGCGCATCATGCAGCCTACTGGGCTAAAACAGTTTCATGTACTACCGTCAACTTTACGGTAAACATCACAGCGACGACTGGACCCTGTTGGGTAAATGAACAATCGCGCGTTTCTCACGTACCCATCTCGTTCTAATTTTTGTAGCGTCCATTCAAACCCGACGAATTATTCGTACCAGTACCCATCGTAAGAATGAGGTAGTAAAATCAATCGTTATGCATTATACATTTATTTATTCACAGTATGTTTCAAGCGTATCAAAGGCTTATGCTAATCTGTAACACAAACTCGACTTTGCTAACTGGGAGATTGAGCAAATATAGGCTACCTGTGAAAGCGTTGCACAAGGAATGCATAATACCAAAACGTCCAGGTCAGAATTAGATGCTCATCCTACTAAAACAAACTATAAAGTATATTTAATTCCAACTGTCTCGTTGTTCATCCAGATCATATTAAAGCTGCTTTCCTCCGTGGTTCTTGTACCCGAAATCACTACCATTCATCAACAGAATTCACTCACACAGCTCAGCAAAGAACTTTATTTCGATATTTCTTATCAGCCTAATCCATACATGAAACTGGTTAAATTCGTGATAGGCTAAAATGGCAAGTCTAGGGTTGGTCAAGTCCAAACAGGCTGCTTTGGTATTCGATCCTTTGCAATCGATTATAAGAGCTAAGCACACACGTATGGTTGGCGGCATCCGGTTTCGGATTTGCCTGTCACTGTGGTCAGCCACAGGACGCCTGCGCCTACGGAGGGACTATGGATGGCTTGCGCCGTACCACGCACAACTCCAACCACACACCCCATGTCCAGTGTAAACCCAAAGGAATACGACCAAGAGGCATGCGGATGGGAACCACGTTTCATCAACGGAGCCGGCCCACACTCCTTCACAAACAAACACAATCACGCTGTATTTGGGGAATCAAGTGCACACAAGGCGGTGGCTGGACCGTAGTCCGCTCCACATTGACTGCATGGAACCACTCTTCGAGTCTAGCACGGCCACAAGGACCGTGCACCCCGTCCCCTCCAGCAACGACCAACTGTCTCCTGGAGCCAGTATGAACGAGGTAGTGGGTATTAGAGAGGTAGGCACCTTGTCAACATGCACATCAAGCGAAGCCACACCTGGGATGTCAAAAAACAGTCAATCATTAGAAATGCCAAAATCGAGTAAAGTAAACGCATACGACGACATAAATACTCGCTAAATGAGCATATAGAAGAACTCGGTCGTAAGTGAATTCGTGATAAGTACAAAATGTCCGAAAGTTATTTAAAAAATACCACGCGATAAAATTACGCAAGTTTACCACAATTTGCGTGAAAGACGTGTGCAAGTAAGGAGAAGATTATCAAGTACGCAGAACAAACCAAATAACATGTAGGGAAGTTTATCCACATTAAAAAGACCTAGTTTAAGTGTAAGTTGGTTTAGCCCAACTGCGGTGAAGAAGCATCATGAACGCAACATCAGCCTCAACAAGGGGCTCACACGTATACACACATGTTTACAAGACATGTTCACAACACAACACACCACGGTTCAGCTGTCCGATGGGGTGAAAAGGTCACTTTCGGAGGTCGAGGAGAACGGCGAGTCACAGTAAAAGTATGGCCAGGGTAAATGGAGCTTCTGAACTAGCATCTTCTGCTTACATAATTCTGGTTGCATCAGCCTGATCTAAATAGCTTCGGCCGTCATGAGCAGGCACCTTTTAGCCCCTTTTGGATAGTGCTTCAGCACAACGTATAAAACGGAGGAAAATTAACATTTCTGGACACATTGCTAGGAAGAAGAGCGAATGACACACTCCAAAGAAGTGTCTACCTAGAGCCGACCTTTATAGGCCATGATATGTTCGTAGCTTTGTATTGTTAAAGTACAACCAAAACTAAGTGCGTTGCCTGTATTATCACGCCAGCAGAATCTGCAGCCCCGAAACTTCGGAAACTGAGAAGGACTTTATCTTAAGAGCGCTACGAGATAACGGTTATGCTGTTCCATTTATTCGGAGACAAGCTGTGGTCTGTGACCAAAGTAAGACTATCATGACTGTGCCAAAAAAGAATGTTTATCGTATTGTTGTTTTTAAGGGAGATGTTTCTTTCGTGGTACTCAACAGAAGACTCAAAAATGCAGTGACGAAGTCTCTCACTGCTGCCCATCCGCACGTTATTGCTGAAACTGCCCCGTTTATAACCCAGCGTCTTAGCGATCGACTCCTGGTCCAGTCCGAATCTTTTATCCTAGATCCATGTACTTGCACCTATGGCGTAAGATACCTCAAACACACGCTCAGATGCTTGGCGAATCGAATAGCGGAACATTGCCCAGCAGTCTTATGGAAGCACGCAGTCAAAAAGGCCAACAGTGCTGTTTTGGAACATTTAGTCCGGAGCGGGCACCAAGTCGTGACGTCAGAGGCTTTTACGGTTTTATACGTTGTGCTGAAACACTACCCAAAAGGGGCTAAATGTTGCCTACTCATGACGGCCGAGGCTATCTAGATCAGGCTGATGCAACCAGAATTATGTAAGCAGAAGATGCTAGTTCAGAAGCTCCATTTACCCTGGCCATACTTTTACTGTGACTTGCCGTTCTCCTCGACCTCCGAAAGTGACCTTTTCACCCATCGGACAGCTGAACCGTGGTGTGTTGTGTTGTGAACATGTCCTGTAAACATGTGTATATACGTGTGAGCTTAGCTCTTATAATCGATTGCAAAGGATCGAATACCAAAGCAGCCTGTTTGGACTTGACCAACCCTAGACTTGCCATTTTAGCCTATCACGAATTTAACCAGTTTCATGTATGGATTAGGCTGATAAGAAATATCGAAAAGAAATTTCTTTGCTGAGCTCTGTGTTACTGTATCTATGGACATATTTCACAATTCGCCCAGCCAGCAGTCTACCTTCTCGATGCACAGCATACAATCATCATCTTAATACACCCTGCTGCTTTTCCCTTGTTACACTCACTAAAGAAGCCGATAAATGCAGCGAATTGCTAAATTTATTTAAATTCCACTTGTTTAGTTCCAACACATTTTTGTAATCTTATTCCAACAGTCTGAGGCGCTTTGAATCCGTCATTGCCCCCCCCCACTCATCTTGGAGCATAGCTTTTGAGCCATCATTTGGACAGTTTCTGTTAAACAGCTAACGAGTATCCGCTTCAGGTTCACTACGATGGCCCGGCTTTTCTAATCCACCGAAAGGCTCAGATTTCTCATTCACCAGGAATTCTGGAGTGTTTATTGTTACCTTGCTGATAGTCAGTTGTTACAAACGCATCCCATAATGCATACACAGGGCGCAAAGATTTTACCGTAACGATAAACCTTAAACTTATTTCTTCCTGAACAGGATGTGTTTTCATGCAAGTTTGAAATGGCCGAGGGATTCCTTCAGCCCCTGCACACTTTCATGAGCAAAGCATTCCTACCTCTGCTGTGGATGCAAACTTCATATCTAGGAAATCTGAATCATCAGGAACGAAGTGCCTATTTTGAATACGTGGAAAGCTATCTCAAGAATCTTTCGAGTAAGTGACTCTTGTGACATTGCTTGGACAGGTTAGTCGTCGTGAGTTGTTGTCAACTAATGAGCATGCTTTATCAACTACTAATGTTACTCCTCTCAGTTAGTTGCTGGTACACCGTAAACATAGGCCCAAGCATGTGTTGTCAACAAAACACATGTCTAGCTCACTAGACCTTTGTGACCCACCCTACAATCAAGCGTTACGTGCACCCATGACGTGCACAAAGTAGTTCTCGACCTTCACGTTGGTTTGTCAGCGTTCTTACGACTGGGATTGGCACCTAAAAGAGACGTGTAATCTTAAGTAATGTTTGTCTACTCATTGTTCTGGTATCATGAATTCGATAATTGCATACCCCTGCCAGCGTTAAAACCACGTTGGTTCTAGAAAAGCACTTGCTCAGCACCTCTATTTTTTGTATTGTCCATGCAGATGTGTGCCATTCGGGTGAACTTCGTGTGACCAGCTTCCCGTATAATCATTCGAAATCCTAGAAGTTTTTGGTAGGGAGTTATTGAGAATAAACCGAATGCGAATCAATCACAAGTTTGAATATACACTTGATTACGTAACGGCCCGTTAGTTAACTAGCAGTTTAGCATGCTTAAGTGGTATGTATACTAAGCCGAAACGCCGTATCGAGTATTCCAAGCAGATATAATTAGATTTCAACTTGTTATGTCACATTTCTAGAAGGGTTGAGACAGAATGAACCTGTGTGGATGGTGACAACAACGGACCCCAGTCAAAGCATCAGCAGTACGCCGGCACACCTCTCCGACGCTTCGGTACCATGCGACCACCAACAGTCGAGCAAACGCTGAGTTTATCCGCACCTGCACTGATTCCAACAGGTGACCGACAGATCACAATACAAGCTGTTAATTATTTCGGCCACCGGCCGGAGTAAAGTCAATCGGCTCTATGCTTGGGGTTCAGAGCAAAATGGGTGGTGAAAAACGGGCAACTTGCTGACCTAAATGAACAGCTTAAATTTTTTACCCAGTCACGCAACCTTCCTTGGCTAAGCTAACAACGATTGCTGGGTGAAAGTCACCAAGTTATGTTGCATAGCCAGTGCTGCAAATTTTCGTCAAATGAACTCGGCCGCAAGCGGTAGATTTCTAAGCTGAAATAACCTTAACTACGTGATCCAGCAGGATGTTTTATCTGAGTCTATACACAATGAACAGAGTACAAATGACTAATCTTTTTAAAAAAGCATGTGTTTAACGGGTTTATTTGGATGGCAATGGTAAGAACCACAGTATAAAACTGTAAACGTGGAGACATCCTGAAGAACATTTTAGTACGCCTACTGTAGTATTCAGTGGGAAGTATACGTCAAGGAGATCGGTGAGCAAGGTGCTAATTATTTTCTAGTCTTTCGACGTAGGCAGATCCTATTGCGCACTGCAAGGTGGTCAAGACAAAGTCAATCCGCTCTTTGAACTCTGGTAACGTAGCAACGAAAACAACCAGGGAAATAATAGAAACATTGTTTAATATGGTCAAGAAGTCGAAGATTAATCGGTTCCGTCCAATGATCAGGAAAAATATCGTAACGTGTAGAAAAGACTCTAGCAAAAGATATGTTTACACAGGTGGACTCCCAGGACTATAAAGCATTGAAAATGGCAAATTCACTATAAAGTCATGGTGAACTATGATACATAGAACGTATGTATAAGCAGTATCACCTCCTGGTGGACATGTACATGAACCGAAAAAGTCGGAACCCCTTCTGTTAACTGACTAGCAGTGAAATCGCTGGCAGACACGCGTATTTAGCAACCAGCAATTATTTATGTTATACGGTGAAGCGAAGTTAACGTAGGGTGGACTCAGACTTTGAATTTACCAGCATGGAAGCACAGACGACGGATTCCGGTCGGGCATTCAATGCTTATTAAACACGTACGGAAAAGAATTTCAGACAGAATTCCATAAGTCTATACTGCTTGACCGGATTGAGATGTTGGCTTCTCAGGTTGTTGTTGCAACTGAGTTCCAGCGGATGGCGGAACAAGTATTTGGGGTCCCTCAAATTCTGGAAAATCATAATAAGGTCCTCGCGTAATTTCCGACGTTGTCTGCTGAAGACCCCGAACATTCTCAGCTTTTGTTCATAGGGCACATGGCACAAGAGTTTGGGGTTCTTTATCGTCCGGAATTGTGGTATCGTCAAAGCGGTGATATCTATCCTTAGCCATGGTTGATAGAGCTGCATTGTGTATTCCGCTTGTATACCTATTTATGACGCAAGAAACTGCTGAACAAGTAACGAGTTTAAACGTCAGATAACATGCCACAGGCGTCCCACATTTTGAATGTTCCTTCTTTATGTCTCCTGATCTTGATGAGAACAACCTAGATCGGCCTGGATGAAAACGATTGGATCAGTTTCACTGGGAGACGTTCAAAGTACACGGCTGCCCAGTTTGCAGCAGTAGGCCAAATGGTACGGTAACTGTAGTGCATTATATTTCTCTACAAGGAACCGAACTACATATTTCGACAAATGCTCAGTGCGTATGTTCGCCCCCATGTCGAATACGCAATTCAAGCCTGGCATCCATGGCTGAAACACGACCTTAATGCACTGGAGCAGCCACAACGCCGGGCATCTAAGAACGTAATTGGAATGCGCAATCTGTCCTACCAGGAGAGGCTGCGACGACTAGGATTGTTCAGTGGAAGCTATCGCAGGCTACGAGGCGACCTGATTATGACATACTTGATTCTGCGAGACCCACATCATGTGTGCCGCCCTTTACTGCAACTCAGCAGCAATACAAACCTGAGGGGCCACTCATTAAAACTCGCAGAACAATACAGTCGTCTGGAGTGCCGCAGAAATTTCTTTTGCAATCGTGTCTGTCACCCGTGGAATGCTCTCCCAGAATCGGTCGTCTCTGCACCGACATTAACAATATTTAAAAGACGGTTGGACGATGCACTCAACCACTTACACTTTGTTACTTAACACTATGTCTCCATCGTACACCTGGAGTTCATCATGGAATTATCTGTTGTTAATTCTGGGTGTTGTGAATCTAAGTGGATCGCAGGACTGCAGCGAAGCAAACGATAAGTCCTTATTTTCGTATTTAAAGTATTAAATATTTTACTATCCTTTTCATCATAATTGTTATGTTGATATCCCCACCAACTATCCAATGGGGCTTGTAAAGCAAAGCTTTTTAACCCGTATAAATTCATTGTTCATTGTTCATTCTGGATTAACAATTGATAAATGCTATCCAGACCGACTTGAAGTAGTGTGGAATCACTTGGCGTATTGATCGTCCTCCATACCTTGAAATCATCTATATAAAGCATGGAATTCGAAATTATGTGACGTGTTATATCATTAAGATACATTGTAAACAAGCGTGACGCCAGTACCGACCACTGTGGCACTTCGCCTTCGATTTGGGTGGCGTCTGATAATGATCCACGCACTCTCGCCCTCAGACAGTTATAGGATAAAGTTTCCGATCCACACTAAGAGGATCTCAGAGCATGGATGTTGAAATCTCCAGTGATAAAGAAATGGCTGTGTTAATTAGGTATCACCCACATCAGTGCGCATGCGAGATTGAAAATCGTGTCAAGCGTGGAAATTCGATGAAGATACAGGACAGCCAACAAGCAAGCATCGCCGCCTCTCATACGCAGACAACACAGTAGGGATTCCTGCATCGCACTGATGGAATCCTCTATGGGCTCACTTTGGTGGTCACTGTTGAAGTAACTAGCCACCGCACCCCTTTTTGGCGATAGCCTTCTATGGCTGACATACGAATAGTGCACATGTTCCTGTGACATGCCAGGTGGCCGTATGGCGCGTCCAACTTGTCCTACTGACCCCTCAGGTTTGCCTGCCTAAAGGTCGTGGGGTACGCAGTTGAGATCTTCAGTGTCTAGTAGATCATTTCTCGTTGTCTTAAGGGCTGATATTGATCAGTGTGCTATCATGGTTCTCACAGCTTATGTTTCTATGGAGGATGGAACATTCCCTTGACATGTTCGATCGCAGCTCGTTGTGGAGTCTCCAGCGAGACAAGGGCTTGCTTATACGAGACTTGCAGCCCTGCGCGTGCGACTGCATATTTGTGTTAAGCCTCTGTGTGCCGATCGCATCCCAGACACCCTTTGCAGGAGTCTAATTTGCTGTATCCCAGTCTCTGATACCTCATATTACTTGGAGTAGCCCAGGTTATCCTGAGTCAATACACCGTGATCGCACCGCTGGTACACCTTCCGCAACATGTGGTCTTAAATATATATATATATATATATATATATATATATATCCATTTCAGATTAATTAGAATGTCGATCGCTACACACCTAGGCGAATCAAATGGGATCTGGTTTTCGTGTGACCATTCCCAACCGTTTTCCAGGGTGCGTTGAAGTGAAGTAGGCTCTCCTTGATCGACAAACACGCAAAAACTTGACCTTATCAGTAAGTATTAGGGGAATTGAAGTGATGGCGTGCGTAAAGTATTTAACGAACGTAATGGATTGGAATGCCATCAACAATTACCCTTACGAACTTTCGCGTTTTATGGGCCGGAACTCTAACTTGCAATTACCCCTGCCGCAGAAAATTTCATATTCACCCAAAGTGGAATAATGACCATATAGCGTGGGAGCATGTAAAGAAGTGTCGGGTGTTCAGATCAGCGGAGAACTTGAAAGTTATAGTAAAAAGCAACGCTCTCTGTACCACTAGCGACCGTTTCCGTTCAAATACCCCATTGTCAATAGGTAGGCAGTGTAGAGGTTATTGTGTAAGAAACTGCTCTCCTCCGGTATTAAGTGGTTGTAATATTCCAGATGTTCACCTAAAGCCAGAACGACGTTGCCTTGCGTCAACTTTTAGATAACCTTGGGTAAGGTTTGTTAATTCTGAACCTCTTTCGCTTTTAACTGTTTGAGCAATTAAAATCTGATTACACATGGTACCATCAGTTCCTGCAAGCACAGTTGGAAGAAATGTGTTGGTGGGTCTGTTGACTGTGTTTCGGCTACTCTCAGAGCCCTCAACTAAAAAATATCTGCATTGGAGAACTCTAGATGCGTAAGGAGAGTAGCTGCAGGGTTATTCATGACACGTTTTGTAACCAGGGTGTCTCTGCACCGACACTAGCAGTATTTAAAGGACGGTTGGATGACGCACTCATGCACTTACACTTCATCACTTAGCGCTACGTTTCTCTCCTAACCCTGTAGTTTATCATGGATTTATTTGATGTTAACAGTGGGTGCTGTGAATCTAAGCGGATTACAGGGCTGCAGTGGAACAAACGTTAAGTCTCTATTTCATATATAAAGTATTAACTGTGTTACTATTATTAGTAGTACCATTCTTGTGATTTTGATATCCTTACCAAATGTCCAACAGGTGTTTTAAAGCAACACTTCTTAACCCGTATAAATTTTTGTTCCTTGTTCAGTGCTTGTATGCGAGGCTGGCCAACATCTCGTTAAAAGTTCATTACATACCGTATCCCTGGGACATTACTCGCTTCTACAGCATTCTTTTCCACTACGACGGTTAAGTGTTACAATGCTGTGCTTCATCTCGAGAATACTCTTAGCAAGCTGGTTTTGCAAATTAAGTATATATTATTTAGTTGCCGTTGGTGTGTAAATTGGTCCTCATGGGCATTCACTGAACAATACTGAATTTGGGTCAAGCAATCGGCTCAGATTCCAGGACAAAAATAGACCATGCAAACATGCAACGTTGCATCCCTTACTAATATGCGTTTTCCGATCCCTCACCTGGTATACGACAGTGTCTTGGCAAAATGAACGTGCAAGCTTTCCGGGGTAGTTACTATCGGATCTCTGAAGCCCACTGCAATTTGTATTCAGGCGTTGCCGAGGAGCCGTTTTTCAAAGTTTCCCATCCGTTTCTCTCTCACAAGTATGCTATTACGTTGTAGCGCGTTATGATAAGCATCTGGTCAGTGAGTTTCTTCGGGTATTCAGTGTATTACATAAATCTGTAAAGTACGATTAAGAGATCGCCGAGTTCTAGCAGGGTGTAATCAGCGTTTTGTCGATTGTGAGTTCTGGATACTTATACAAAATTTAAAACAGTTAGTTCCCTTCAATAGACTGAACAACAAAATGAGAAGACGAATATTGACAGATGCTAGCATTTCGTATTATCTCGTCACTACCATTACAATAACTTATAACAAAGTTCCAGCGGGATCGATTCTTCCTTAAACAGACAATGTGCTTTTTTCCCGTGAAGTACTTGCACTAAGTTCTCACAATGTGCTCTGAAATGTTCCCATAAGGGATGCCGGTACGTATCTGCTTGTTGCGTTCAAGTCAGCTGAGAAGAAAATGTGACTGCAGCTTAGAGTTAAGGTTTTTGTTAAGACCGATGTTAATCAGGAGTCTATCACTGAAATGGACATTGGGAGGGGGCGATAAGCAACTACGAAGAGACAGCGATGGCTGTACAATGTCCGCAAATGGTACCAGAGTGAGGCAGTGATCCTCGTTTCTGCGCTTGTCACTAATTCGCATTGTGGGTTGTTGAGATAGTATAGAACTACTTCCTCTTCTTAATAGTCAGGTATTTTCGGGGGTGAGACGATCTGGATCGAAATCATGGTGATCACCCATGACACGACATCTGTTCTACTTGTGAACGCTACACAGCAGAATAAGATACGATTGCGAGCTAGCAAAGTCTGATGAGTCTGGTCGCTAAGCCAATATGATTCGAACGTCGATTGGCGGATTTTGAGATGCAATGCTAGACCACATGAAGGTGATAAAGCCCGTGCTATATTTTTAGACTATATTCGATGCACCCTTTGCTCATTTTCAATATAGTGAGAGACTCCTTACAGACTGCAATACTACGCTTTTACCAATGAATAAATAAATGGGCATGTTTCCCGATGGGCGGGTTACCTTCCCTTTTGTGGAATTATCATTGTTCACAATAACAATGCAAGGTGGTGTGATTAAAAAACAATTGGATAATAGCCGCGAGGACGCATCTCGAGTGGTGGAACTTTATTAATGATCCAATAAAGGCAAACACTAGGTTGGTGAGAAGTTCATTCCATTGTTCTATTTTGCTCTATCTGCTCTACATACATTATTCAGTCCGCGCTATCCATCATTCCAACCAGGTCTCCGTTGTGGAAATTATGTCCCAAATGTTCACCTCACGATATTGTCAAATCTTAGCAACTGTGATGAGAAAATCTCTTAGTATATATGGTGGGTGGTTTTGGATGTGAATAATTAGTTAAGGTAATTGTATTTCGAAGGTTTGTGGCGATTGTTGCAGTGTCGGCTGTTTGCCGTTTTGTTAATATACCATAAGTGAGCCATTTGTAGTCGGTTTCCATGGCTTCGTAGTGAATTCTTTTTCCAAGCCTTTCTGCGCAGTGTAGTGGATGACGCTATGAGGTTCCACGAGCAGTCGTTACTGTTGTACCCTCGATACGAGTGCATAGTTCGAATAGAGCACCGGATTCTTTTACTTTCCCAGATGAGTGTGTGTGCCATTCATCACCTTGAGCCGGAGCTCAGTCGATAGTCTGTTGTGCAAAGGCTGTCAGCTTTCCAATAGCTTTCGTGTCATCTAACTGGTTTTGGCATCGGTCTCACTATACTTGTGCAGCAGCTTTTGTAGCTTACTGATCTACTTTTTGCACCAAACGAGTTGGTGGCGGCTATCACCTGTTCTGGGGAACGTTATTTGATGAACCGTTGCCGCATGAAATTATAGTCGACGGTAACAAAGCTATATTTTTCGTTCGCTTTGCACGTGGCTGCTAGTACTGATTACCATTATCCTACCACTCACTCATTTCCACCGTTAGGTTCTGTCCTATAAACAGCATCACCTGCATTCGCAGGTAAACGGTTAATGACATCTGGTGATGGGCTAAAAGCCTGTGTATACTATGTCCGCATTAGAAATACAGAGGTCTAAAGTTTCATTAACGCAGCCACCAGCAAAGCTACTGAAGCCGTGTGTCTGAAGTAACTACTTCATAAGAATGGGTACCACATGAGCTTCTGTGATCATATTTGATGGTCGTTGGCTGACACGTTGCCGTAAGTGAAGCAACACATTCAAGGATATCACTACTATCAATACACGTAGACACAGCATCCCATTCTCATTAGACTCCTTACTTGAACTGGTAGCTCTGCCTACTCAATCAGCGTCAACCGTCAATCTGAAACTAGTTTACTACTGAAGCAGTAAGTATACAGAGACCTTGTGTTACAGCTATTCTCGTTGACTCAATTACTCTAAGTAGTAGTAATTTTGTGTGTATTACAAGACACGGCAAGTAAAACGGCGTTTTCACTCACCTCGGAATCGAAGAGGTCTGGTGACTACAGTCCCACTTACCCGTTGCAGCTATTATTGTTTGCTCAAAAGAACAGGTGACTCTGGCCACCTCCAAACTACCAGATCATCTCCAGAATGCGGATGTAGAGACTCTTATGCAGCTGTGTCATCATCCGGAAATCTTGAACTACTTGGAGGAGAGTGCCTCACACTGGATGAAGCAGATTGATGAGGTAGGTTCAAAATTTTACGATCCGTGTAGGTGATATTTTTGTGTCCCTTCCATGACTCTGAGTTTCCGTTTTAGATACACATGTACAGTGCATCTACTTTGGATACAACGATGCACCGTTAGCTATATATATATCAATTTATACCAGCTAGGATTTTCAAGTCTGTTCAGGATCCTTCTGATGGTAGTCAGTTTGCGGCTATTGACCGATCAGGTGTATAAAATCGTGGTTATACAAAATAGGGGTATCTGACTATTACTTCCAAAGATGTTGCCACTTCTGATATGCTCTTAGTTTTGGTATGATAAATGGTAAGGCGCCAAAAACGATCCATAAAATACCCCAGATGGCAATGTACGCCTAATTTTCAGTCACCTTCACAGATTGCGCTGTATTTCGAGCAGTTAATGTACATGCTGATCAATTTGTATATCTTACATGAGTGATATTTCTGGGGTTGAAACATTGTTTGCATGGAGAAATTAACCTTGAAACCGTAACCTGATTCCCCGATTGGCTTCATTACATAAAACAATTTGATTTCAAAATTTATCTTTCCGAACGTGGGGAAATACAGCCGCTTCACGATATCTGAACCGATTATTCACTTATTACCGGATTTCGAATAGATTTGATTACTCCCGAAGCAAGACTTCACTATGGCTATAATTTTCCACCGATTCACGCAAATTAAATGTTCACCTCCATTGCATCTGATTCCCTGAATACGGGCTATTCCACCGCTACAGGAAGTAAAAGAAGTAGAACTGCTGCGCGTCGAAAGGGAACAAAATGGCCCACATGGAGAATTTGATTTTTGGAAGTGCCGAATGACACGCATGAACTCCTTGGCCACTGAGCTACGCCGCCAGGATATACAAAAAGTACTCAGCTGCTTGCAGTCAGCCAGGTCAAAAGTCATGGAGGTGAGCGCGCTTGACCTAGTTTTCATTATGTATTTACACGGTCCTGAGGGTATGTATTAGCTGTGTAGCAAATGTTTGGTGGGCTTTCACTCAAGCCAGTATCAGGTCTAACACTGGGCACCTCACGGTCACACCAGCACAATGTAAGGTAGACTCAGACATCCATAATCGATCAAGGTAGCAAGAGTTTGTTAGCGTCGTTAGATGTTATGTGGGCATTGTAGTCAATGTAAGTAAGTAAAACTACTCGTCGCCTAAGTGATGTCCCTGTATAACATGAATCACGGCAACAGGTAAATCCATGAGTCGCCACTTTCATGTTATTGACAATACCGCCGACCGTTGCGCATCCATACCTAACGGTTGGTTCGGTAAGGTAAGCTCAAAACAGAACAAACGGCCAAGATGTGCAGCTGCGTGGACTCGGCCACCTAATGGCAATATATACTCGTTTTCAACCACATCCTGCTGGTTCCCTCCAGCCTGACATCATAAGTTCGTGGTGCCACGTACCACATTTCTGAACTTCAGGCATTAAGAGTAAAATGGCCTGTAGCCAATGGTATTTAGCGCATGCTTAACGGAAATGGCTGTTTGATCACCTTTGTCGAAGGAGAAGGATGGAATCATGGCTTTCTAAATATTTCAGACAAAACTCGCACAATGCGTTTGCTTGTAAGTCAAGCTGACAGTGCCCTTAAATGTTAAGGGTTAAATGATGCACTATATATATATATATATATATATATATATATATATATATATATATATATATATATATATAGGCTTGGCGGCATCCGATTTCGGATTTGCCTGTCACGATGGCCAGGCACAGGACGCCTGCCCTTACAGAGAGAACATGGGTGGCTTGCGCTTCATCACCCACAGCTCCAACCTCACAACCCATATCCAGTGTAAACCCGAAGGAATAAGACCAAGAGGCAGGCGGATGGGAGCCACGTACCATCAACGGAACCGGTCCACCTTCCTTCTCAAGCAAAAAATGCACGCTGTGTTTGTGGAATCAAAGACCCACAAGGCGGTGGCTGGACCGTTATCCGCTCCACACTGGGTGAATGTAAACACTCTGTGAGTCTAGCACGACCACGAGGACCGTGCACTCCATTCCCTGCAGCAACAATCAACACTCTTCTGGAGCCAGTATGGACGAGGTAGTGGGTAATAGACAGGTAGGCACCTTGTCAACATGCACATCAAACGTAGTCACACCGGGGATGTCAAACAAAAACCATTTACTTGAAATGAGAATGACAAATAATATATATCGAATAAAGCATACGAAAATGCTGACATACATCTAGGCTAAATGAGCATATGTAATAAATTTTTATCAAAAAAGCCGCGATATGATGTAAGCAAATATAATTTTTTAAATGCCACGGACGCGAAAGTGTAAGCGATCTTAACCACAATTAGCTTAAACAACGTGTGCAAGTTAATAGAAGATTATTCAGGCTTACGCTAAAATGAGATTTAAAGAATCTGCATTGAGACACGATAGCAAATCCATCAGCTGAAATAAAAAAAAATACTCACCACGCCAGCATTCGGTTAGTAAATCGAACGCAGCTTACGTACTAGCATAGAGGCGGTTCTGCTTACGTTCTCAGCAGCACCTGTCGTCGTTTCGGTGTTAGCCCATATTGGCCTCCCTCATGGCTTACTAGGCCAGCCTGACTCAGGCACTTGCGACCACATGTGTTACAGCACCATGCGCTCGAGGTTGTTGGAGTACACCCCATCAACGACTGTTGCTTCCGCAAGTGCCGCTGCTTCTCTGCATGCAAAAGAGCCTTCTCTCGCACCTCAGCAATGGACTTGGTGATTGGACCGCGCCATGCACTCCGATTAACCGCCTCCGATTTCCATTATCTCAATCGACATTAGAACGTGAAGCGGAAGCGACAGTCGGTGATATATATATATATATATATATATATATATATATATATATCAGCTTGTTCTTTAGAGTATCCAAACAGCTATGTTCTTCATCTCTGACTCCCCAGCACGGAAGACGTAGGTATGGACAACAGCTAGACTGGAAGCCGGCGTCCTGTCGTTTTGTCGCCATCTTGTAGGTTGACTACAGAACAATTTCTTCCAGTCCGGCCCTGCGCAAGCGAATGGAGAGCGCCATGACCATTGGTCGCACAGCATGAGTAGAACGTAACCTAGACACCTTAGTTGGAGCAGCGGTATTAGCTAGTCTAGAGAGCGGACACTAATACCTATGACGCAACGCCTAGCCTCGTCATTGCAAGCGTGGTGTTCCATGTACACATCTATCTACACCTATCTTCCCCAGCTAACCGTCGTCAAAGTTCGAAACGCGGCGCATTTCACTTAAACGGATCGGGCTGGACTCACTTTCGCACAACGATACCGTACAAACATAGGCATTGTAGACCCTGATCTTTACCGGGAGTGAAACATCACGGTGACGCCACAGATGCTTTGGAGCAGCTAAAGTCTTGACAATGCAGAGAGAAAGCCTCCCCCAAAGGTGCCATCGAAAAGATGCGGCTACCAATTAGAAAAGACCATCCACTTGTTCAAGCTGCACGCCTTCAAGGAATTAGCAAGAGGCAGGTGGATACCAACCCTGGAATAAGACTTTGTGTTCCGATGGGACGAAGGTCACACCATACTTGGAAGCTTTACTTAACAAGCGGTTAAGAACGACCTGCCGCCGCCATCGAGTAAGGCGATATCGTCAGAAAAACTTTGATGCCTGGAAGAAACTTTACACCAGAAACCTGGCAACCTTAAAAAGTGCTTAAGAGGGCATCCTCAGTAGCAGTTGAAGAGAAACTGGGACATGGGTCATCCCTGTAGTCCACCGTAAGTGACGGCGGAGGATGAGGAGAGCTTTCCATAAGATCTCACTCTGTTGTATAAAATTCGAAATATAGCTGTATACTTTTCGTGTAACGCATTGCTTTGCAGACAGCGCCATAAAACAGTCTGTTTGACGAAGTCTAACTCAGCTAGGATGTCCGAAACGGTGAAAATGGTAGGCAGACGATAAAGTTGGCCTTGCTGGAGTAGTTGGGGGTGTAAACATGTGGTACATTACCCACTACGACGACGGTAACCAGCCCTTTCCTCACTGGTGTATAGTTTTCTAATCGGTGTAACCGTACGCAGTAAACGGATGTTGCCAATTTGGAGGCGACGGATATTAGACTGACTTCTCTGTGTTTGGCGCATTAGGTACTAATACTCTTCGTTAGGATAGGTAAGATAATCGACTAGACCATGAGAATAGAACCATTTTCTTCACAGCAAATCCTGAAGAACGAAGCTGTTAACTGGTTGACAACTGACTCGACACCGTACTTGAACAGCCGTGGAAGAAGTTCCTCTGAACCAGCAGCCCTGATTCGCTTCAAGTGAGGAATCTGGAGGCAGACCTCCACTTTGCTGGAGGGTTCCGGTGAAACTCCCAAGGCGCACAAGAAAGCATGGTTGGCAAATAGGCTGAAGGAGAAGGCCAAATGATCTGTGGGTGTAAGGGCTCAGCCCAACGACCTATGAGCTTACGCAAAGCGTTGATTTTGGATCTAGCAACTTCGCAAATCGCCAGGTTACGCCAGGTCTTCTTTGGCCAGTGGCCCAAATGATCTGCTAAAGCTTGTGAATGTTTCCAGGGACAGATGCATTCTCCTTCACTGAAGCGCGCTGAGGCCAGCAAATCTCGGATAATTGCGTAGCGTTTGCTTGAGTTGTTGGTTGAAGTTTCAGCAGACTTGGCTGCTGATTGAATCTGCACGGATAGCACGGCGATGGTCAGACCAACCCAGAATGAGCGAGGAAATAAACCCTCCGACAACATCCAGTTATTTGACAGCATATTGGGTCGGAAAAGAGCGAAGCTTTTCTAAGCGATTCCTGTGTTATTCGAAGTATTGAAGTAGTTTACTAGCGAACGCATCCGATAAGGAAGAGTGATGCGCCGGTTGCATTAAGAGGTTAGCTGCCTTGATACACAGCAAACGGTGCTTTGATTTCGATGAATTCCCAAAGCGCATGTAGATGTTCGCATTAACCAAAACATGGCCTGAGTAGAGATAGGTGGATCAAATTGACCTACAATCCTGTACGCTACCGCGTAGGCTGAAGCTGCCTGCAATGTGATCAATTTGTGACCACGCTTGCGTTGGCGAAGGGGGACGCTAGGTGGGGGCGTTTTCCCCCGAATGCTTGAAGTTCGTGCTCGGAAGGAATAGATGGTTATTTTCACATACGTCGAACTCTGTTGTCACCAGGACTAATTAAGGGCATGACGACTACCAAGATGACTTTCTCAGGGCAACGTTTGAACGAGTCGCGCAATGAAATCAACGGCAAGGACGACAGCGTCTGGTTTATTGCTTTAATCAATAGTTTGCGGAGTCCGCGATAAAAGCCGTCCTTAACCGTTGCACAGATGTAGTCGATTGTAGCGCTTGCAGAGAGCACAAACAGATTAGGCCTCCCTGTATGACGTCTGTTGATCTTGCATGAGTCTTGAGGCCGAAGTGCAGACACGGCTGTCAGTCGGGAACCACTGCAGCAGCAAGGTCATAACTTTGTCCCTCAACGCGATGACAGCCCCAGCCAAGTCAGATGTAGCCAGATAAGCGCAGCAACTATTTGGTCCTGAGATCGGCAGAAGATGTCACGTTAAACACGGTGTTGAAGTCCTGTAATTGAGTCTCGGAAGAGCAACATAGGTCGAAAGCAATGGACTCTACAGTGCTCGCTAGGCCCACCTGCTACCCGATCTGCATTATGGTTTGAGCATTGAGTGATGTTATCCGGAATAAAGATCAGTTGAAAGTACGGCCACTTGCCGAAATCCTTGTCCATCGGGAGTTAAATCAGTGGAACCAGAATTATTAACGAAGGTAAGGTTAGTATGTGTGATGAAGATACGTGGGCAGTGAACAAGGCAGGGGTGGATGGATGTGAGGCAGCAGCAATTGCGGAGTATG